TCCATACAATAAGCAAACTATGTCAACACGTTAATTACAGTCGCCGCACCAATAAATATTTTTATTAACAGAATAAGTAACCTGATAATTCATTGGCGCCATTACTGTTGGTTGAGTGCATATGGAGTTTGTCACTATTTTTGTCCATTCCATTTGTTGTATTCCCATCTGCAAGTTTGAACATAGTATAAATAAATTGTTATTAATTATAACACATATGGCTTTTAAAGTGACACTCAGCAACACCACCATACCTGTTGAATGAACAACCTCATTGTTATGGGAATCAACATGACCTTGGTTATTCATCTTATACCTCTCACGGCATTTTTTGTTTCTTTCACTCTTCTTTTCATCAGACATTGTTGCATACCATGCTCTATCCCTCTGCCTCTTCTGCTCATTAGGTCGCGTATGATTCCCTTCAATAAATTTTTGTGAGTTGCAAACATATGAACATAGAATATGTAGAGATATTTTAAAAGTTTATTTACCTTCATGTGTTGTATTTGTAAGGTCCCCCAAAGGTACCCGATCATCGGTTGGCCTTGGCGTGTCCATAACACTATCTGTCACTTTTAGCAATGTCGTGCCTGTGAAATAGTATGCCCAATAAATCTCATTATTGCCAAAAAAAGTTAAATAGGTCAATAATATGCAACCTGAACGAACTGAATAACACTACGAATAAAGTTGGAGTATACACAATGGAAAAGATGGTCATTCAGTAATCACCAAGACCAATAGGCCACATAGATTGCCATCAGCGTATTCAAAGTGCACATATGAAAAATGAATCTTGATTTCAAACTGCATTCATAATTATCCTTGTAAAATAGCATGTTCATATTTTCATAGTACACATCATGTATAAATTCAGAAAATATGGAATGGCACATTGCTAAGAAAAGCATACTATCAGCCTGTGCATCCACCAATTTATTTACAATATATGCCAAGCACTCAAGAAGAATAGTAAAGTGCCTGCAACTGCAGGGCCAAGCTACTAAATAATCATCAGGACCTACCAAGTGACTACTGAAAATTTCACTATGTTTCAGAGTTTCTGCCCTAGTCTCTCATTCAGGTAACATTAATTATCAGAACAATTACTTTAGTAAAAAAACCTTGATACAGTTGATCCAAATGATTTGAACTAAAAGCATGCACAATTAAACCTTTTTTAAGTTCACAATTGCTTACTCGATTTACTGGAAATCAAAATCTTTTGTCTACAAAAATTATTCGTGCTTTCTCTTTGGATATCCTCTGGCTCCCTTGTAGTTCTGGAAATGCCAAACTCAAATTTAACAGACAATATGTACCAAAAGATCTTGAGCTTCCATTTAATAAAAAAATAATAACAATAAATAAAGTAATATGTAGTAAGACATAACACATTATCAAAAAGTTAATTTATAATTAATTTAGAGTGAGCAAAGTTGTACGAAGAGGAAGCTGATGTTTGGGAGCCTAGCAATTTTAGCAAAGCTCAAGTAACAAGCCTCCCGAAGAAATAGCACTTTGCATTTACCTTTTTCATGTATAGCTCAACGACATTGCAGGTCAGTTTGTGGTTTGTAGTTGTCGAAGAAGGTTCTCTTCAGGGTCCTCTCGTTTAGGAAGTTTAGTGTGTTCCAAGAATGTCCTAAAGGCATCGTATGCACAAGAGAAACGAAACTCAAACATTGAAGTTCAATTGGAATAATTCAAGTTTGTGTAACCTGCGGACACATCAAATGTTTTTTCCCATTAAAAAATATAGATTAGCAGTTTGTCTAAATCTGAACTGAATCTACAGTATAAAGCAAAACAACAATATGCTTAGTATACATAAGTAGGCCAAATGAAACTATCATTTGCATGGTGCTAATTTTTACTTCACGAAGAAGACAACATCTCTAAAACTACAAAGAGAAAAAAAGGTACAAGCTCTGGTCTTTAACTAACACCCTATTGGTCTAACAAAACAGACGTCCAGTTCAGATTTTTTGTGAAGAAATATCCAGTGCTGAAATATTTGTAACTGCATTAAGCAAGAGTAGGGGCATGTATTACTGAGGTCAGCACAAACTACACATAATAGTATTTAGACATGACTGCTATTTACATGCATCAAAATTTGTACAACTACTATTTCTTCACTACAGCAGGAAAGTAAAGTTGACAAAAAGTGTATGGATGGTTCAGCTTACCTGGGAGTGGCAATGCCGTCGATGACGATAGATTAGGACTCTTGTCCTGCCTTGAACCTCTTGCTGCTGCACCGCTGCTGCTGCTGCGTCGTCGTCGTAGTCGGCGTTATGGGACAGGGGCCGACTCTGTATTGCATTAACAACCAACAGCTCAGTGAGTTTAATCCAATTAATGTCATAACTTCCATCTAGTGCAAGCAAGAATCCACTGAGGGATGTAAATATAGCACTGCAATTTAAACTATGAAGCTCTAAATTATTAGATTCATGCCCCTGTTCCAATATTAGCAAGAACTGCAGCTACAAGTGTCGGTAAGTTGAATTGTCTGTACAACTCCGCAAAGAAAAATAATACAAAATACATGTTCAAGTGACTTGCGCATGAAAAATGGGAGAAGTTTCCACATTGATGAGCAAGGAGGCAAGGAGTATCCTGACAATCTCAGCCATCTAAAGAGGTATTCATCCACCTGAACTGTATCTTGCCACTACCACAGCCTTGATAAATTCTCAATTTAGTTGGTCTAAGGTGGATGCCTTTTCTAATCAGCTGAATGTTTTTTCGGTCTTCAGGAATGTATATACTACTTAGGCATTAATATAGGCTACTCTCAAGCGGAATATATATACTACTTTTTTCATATACAATCCCAGGGAGCAAACACAAATAGCAGATGTGTTAACTCAGGATTATCTGTGTTCACATTTATTTTTGACTCTATCAACATTGCAATTAAGCAAGGTTATACAATTAAGCCACCATCCCGCAAACTCAACATAGCCATATAAGCAGCAGTAGGCATAATTCTTCAGGTGTTGTTTATGTTTTCTATAATCTAGAGGCAACCACCATCCTGCAAACTCATCATAGCCATATAAGCAGCAGTAGGCATAATTCTCTAGGTGTTGTTTATGTTTTCTATAATCTAGATGTAGAGTTTGGGGGAGGGGATGCCGACAGAAGTGTGGACATAAGATGACATAAGATTTACTGTAGATTAGAGGCCATCAAACAATACCTAAGAAGCAAAGGACAAAATCCACCCTGTACAAAAATCCATAAGGGTAGATGTTCAAGTGCCTTTTCCGCATCAACCAAAGATGCTCAAGGGAGACAAAGAGGGATGAGGATGTTACCCAAGGAAGGAGAGACATTGGTGGTATATTGTGATTTTGCCAACACATATGTTTTTTTTTGGTAACCATTAATTAATTACAAAAGAAAAGAAAGATTGAACTACAAAATACTAACCTTGCTGCTCTGATTTGATAGACAAACAATCTAGGGTAGATGTACCTGCACATGAATATCACCTCTTAGTAAATGTCTTACAAAGTGACCAACACCAAAAGGTCATTTTTCCAAGCCATGGTCCTAGGAAAAATATGGTACAAACAGACTCCTCAGCTATAGTGGACATCGCAGAAACTGTTGCTGTACAGTTCCGATCAAGTCATTCCCTAACCCCTATCAAAGTAAAGCAAAGCTGTAGCAGCATATAAACTGCACGATTGCGGCACTACCTCCCACAAGCACAGCCTGAGTGATTGACTGATCGAGAAACCCAGCGTACTGAAACATGCTGAACCTCCAGACCGTTGATTTTTGACACATCACCCACCGAATGACCGAACCATGACCAATATTGAAATCTAGAGCAACAGACTGCGAGAGCAGGGAGGAGCGTACCGACCCAAGCAGTGAGGACGGAGGCGATGGAGGTGCCGACGGTGAAGTCGTGAAGACGATACCGTTGTTCTCAAACACTTGCTGCGGACCATCGGAAGAGCGCCCGCGTCAGTGAATCAAGCAAAATCACAGCGGATACGTGAGAACTTTAGGGAGGGGGCTAGGTTGTCTGTCGTGACCTTGGCGGACAAGGTGTCGTAGATAGCGGCCCAGGAATTAGACACCCGTCTCTGGATGTTGGGGCCGCTCACGCCGGGAGGCGCCCCATTGCCGGGGCTGCCACGCCGCACCGTGCCAGGCAACCGAGCAATAGGGTGTCGTGGCTGCGGATGGTTGGCGATGCCGGATCGCGGGGCTTGCGGGTCGAGGCGGACGCTGCTGCTGCGCCGGATCGCCGTGCAGGCCGTCGGATCTGTGCGCGACGCAGGAGAGGCCGCCGCAACGACGTGTAGGGGGATGGTGGCGGTGTGGGAGTCGACGCGGCGTGCGCGATGGGGCAGAGGCTGGCTGGCGGCGTAGGACTCGGCGTGGCGTGCGCGATGGCGATGAGCGAGGATGAGGAAGGCCGCGCGACGGCTATGACTCCCGCCCGAGATCGATGGCGAGGTTTCCTTTTGCGTGCGCGATGACTGATCGCAGGGGTTCCTTTTATAGGATTACGACGCGCGGTATCGCAAGGGGAGGAGCGGACCGATGGAGCGACGATTGTCGCACGAAACGGTGGTCTTACTTTTTTTTCTTTTTAGTTATAGGAGATAAATAAAGATATAAAGAAGTAAATAAATAAAAAATAGAATCAGGAACGGAAAAGGAATTTTCTCGCCCTACGGCCGTTTTCATCCACGAGCTCACGACCACGTGTCCCGGACGCGTACGGCTCGATCTTGGAGTACGCTGCTCCGCATCGGACGGTGGATCGAGCGCCCCGCGTGTCCTCGCTGCTATATATTTAATAAATAAATTATATATATATATATCCGCCGCACGCCGCAGTCCCCAATCGACTTCCCCAATCTATCGCTCTCTTCGCGCATCAGCTACAGAGCTAGGGTTCCGTCCTCGATCCGATCCGGCGAGTGCACACCACCTTTCTCCACTTCCCTCCGATCAAATCGATGGCGGCCGAGGGCGAGAAGAAAATGATAACCCTCAAAAGCTCCGATGGTGAGGAGTTCGAGGTGGAGGAGGCGGTGGCGATGGAGTCGCAGACCATCCGCCACATGATCGAAGATGACTGCGCCGACAACGGCATCCCGCTCCCTAACGTCAACTCCAAGATCCTATCCAAGGTAATCGAGTACTGCAACAAGCACGTACATGCCGCTGCAGCCGCCGCCGCAGCCTCCAAGGCCGGTTCCGACGACGTGGGTGCCGCCGCCGCCAACAGCACCGCCGCCTCCGTTGAGGACCTCAAGAACTGGGATTCTGACTTCGTCAAGGTCGACCAGGCCACGCTCTTCGACCTCATCTTGGTAAAGGATCCTACCTCCCACTTATCTATTTGTATCGGAACCAAATTAGATCTACGATGTTTACATACGGATCGGCATTCTATTTATTATTCGTGGTTGATAGATGTTTACCATGTGCTGATTGCATAGACTCTGGCTATTTGATTGTGTATTAATTTGTTCTTGGTTGATAGCTGTTTACCATGTGCTGATTGCATAGACTTTGCTATTTGATTGCAACGTAATTATGCATGGTGGTAGATTGGATTATGATGTGTATTGTTGTGAGTATCACAAAAGGTTATCTTTTTATAAAGACAAAGATTACATCTGAAAGGCTTAGTATTTGAAGCTTAAGTAGGTTTATATGATCTTAATCTTGGTTCTATAATTGATTGTGTTGGCATTTAAGTGTTGCTATCTATACGAGGTATAATCTTTGTTGCCTGTTGGTTGGTATTGGTAAGTTATCTTTGTTAATTATCGTTGTGGATATCTAAATTTTCTAAAGTTTTGTGCTTAGTGTCATCCAATCAGTGTGGTAAAATCATTATTTTGGGAGTGATGATATATGGGATGCATTGATTTTTTTTATGAGCTTACAATGCTTGCTAGCTGCAGTATCTTTTCCCTGTCTTATTAGTGCAGAGTTTTGTTCTAGCAGTGTGGTAGAAATCTTTAAATTGTGGGGTTTTGTGAATATGACTATTTAGCCTTATCTTGCAAATTGTTGATTGGAGTACATGTCTGTCTCCCTTTTTGTGAATAGATTATGAGATCCTTAGCTTACAAATGGTTGATATTTTTCCCCCTGTCTTATGAATGCAGAGTTTTGTTCTAGCAGTGTGGTAGAAATCTTTAAATTGTGGGGTTTTGTGAATATGACTAGATAGCCTTATCTTGCAAATTGTTGATTGGAGTACATGTCTGTCTCCCTTTTTGTGAATATATGATTATGAGATCCTTAGCTTGCAAATGGTTGATTAGAGTACATGTCTGTCTCCCATTTCATGAATATGACTATGATATCCTTACCATGGAAATCGTTGATTGGAGTACATGTCTATTTCCCTTTGCTGTCTCTGAATATGTATTTGAATTAGTGCTAGTTAGGCAGGGAACCGAAGCAAGGTCTTAATACTTGGCGGTGTTTGTTTTAGTTGGAAATTGAGAGCTCTAGCGATTTTGTGGATGAATATTTTGTCTATTATTCAATTTAACTATTTAGTTAAAGAGAAAGATCATAACTTTTCTTTGGTACTTAAGAGAATTTATAATTCATAACTAGATAGTTAAATTGCATATTGCATAATACACAAAGTTCATCCACAATAACGCTACATATTATTACTTTCAGATTACTGTTGCATTTCAGTTTTTATTTTGCTGTACTTGCCCTTTTTCTGGCTAACATGTTTTCTCACTTGAAGTTTCTCATTTCATTTACTTTGTCCTTTCCCTGGGTAACATGTTTGGCTTGAATTATAGTATGAACTTGGTAATATTGCTTGTTTGGTTTAATTTTATTTCATTCTCAATTCTCAAAGATCTTATGGTATCTGTATCCTCTGCGATGTCTTCACTGGAAATATACCCAGCTTTATTTGTGAATACACTAAAACTGTCTAATTTGTAGTTCGATTGACGATACCTGTATATATATTTTTTGATGGTTATATCTGTATATTTTTGATTTGATAATCCTGATTATCTTCCTTGACTTATTTGATTTGATAATCCTGCTTATCTTCCTTGACTTGATTTCTTTGAGGCTGTATCAATTTACTATAGATATTGTTGTTGTGCTTTTGATTTTGCATTTTCTATTGTCATGCTGTTTTTGTTTGATTTTCATAATTATAAACTGTATAAATTGCAATTATTGTTTGACACTTCTGATGATTGGTTCTCCCCTAATTTTATAGGCTGCAAACTATCTCAACATCAAGGGTCTGCTGGACCTGACCTGCCAGACTGTTGCTGACATGATCAAGGGCAAAACCCCAGAGGAGATCCGCAAGACCTTCAACATCAAGAATGACTTCACCCCTGAGGAGGAAGAGGAGATCCGCAGGGAGAACCAGTGGGCCTTTGAGTAAGGAGGTGCTGAACCCCCTGATCTCTTGATGCCTAGGTTTGGCCTTTGAGTAAGGAGGTGCTGAACCCCCTGATCTCTTGATGCCTAGGTTTCGTCATATCTACTACCTTGCAGTGCTCTGCTTTTAAATGTCGTCGTAATGGTTGTAAGTATTTTGGGAGTCACTTTGCTTGTGAATGTGTTGGGTAAAACTGATGTGGTCAATGGTTGGTTATTACCATGAAAGGACTTCGGCTGCTGCCCTAAGAGGTCAATCCTCGTGGATGTTTTGTGCGATTGAATCTCTTGGCAAAGTACAATCATTATTGTGATATTGCCTATTCATGAGCCACTTGTTTGTTTACCATTTGTCGATTCCAAGTTTTTTTTTTGCTGACCAACCTGACGAGGTAAGAAAGTCTTGTTTGTTGAACAAGTCGGGCATAAATGATCCATGTGGGTCTAACCTGGCGCTAACAACTGATATCATAGTTGACAATTGATGAGATCCGTGCCCTAAGGCCGGCAGTCGCTCCCCTTCTTCCTCAGGCTTCTCTTCCAGCTCGCCATGACTGTCCGCTAAAAAAAGAGGGACATGGAGTCATCAAAACCTCAGGGAATACCCCAAGCTAAACATTAGAAAACAAGCCAAACATTAGAAAAAAATAGGTCTATAGAGATCCCACCAACTAAACACTACCTAAGAGCAACTTAGATTGGAAAACTCGATTCTCTTTTCCTAGTATTTTTTCCCCACACCGGCATAGCCAAATTTCATTAATTGACAACAATGAAATTATGTGTTTGTTGCAAACGTAGCAAGTGTGAAGACTCCTATCGCCAAGAAACCAGGCGCCAACTACAAAACTAGCCAAAAAAAAAAAAAAACGATTCGCCACTACTTCACTTATATTATATATTACAAGCCCTCAAGGCGCCAACAGCTCGCAGGCCATAACGTAGAACCATGATACCCCACCGTCTTCAGCAGGCACACTCCATCATGTGATTTCAGACACTTCTCCATCAGGTGATTTCAGACAATTGCCATCCTGTTGTCGCTCCCATCCGGCCTCCCTTGTTGGTGGAAGAACAACGCCGTCTTCTGTAAAACTTCTGCTCCATGCTCTAGTTGGTCGAAATGACGTCGTTCTGAATCCCTGTCCAATATATCAACATAGAAGAAATCAAACATAGAACCTCAGTTGGAGTCTCCACTCTTTTCCCATCAAAGCAGACACTGTTTCTTGTCTTCCATATGGCCTAGCAAACAGCCGCCAGACCCACGAAATAGACACGTCTGCCACCTGGTAAGCACCACTTGATCCAAACCCAGAACTAGACAAAAGAAGTACGTCTCACTGATGCCCCAAAATGTATGCCAAGATGCTCCAGATATATTTGCTCATAGGCAATAAAAAAATCAATGCTGGACAAATTCTCCTTCCTGACAAAAACCACAGTTGGGGCTACCCTTCCATTTCCTTATGAGAAGATTATCTTTGCTCAATATGGCATTTTGCAAGGTTAGCCACATAAAATTCTTGATTTTCAGAGGGATTTTGGCCTTCCAAATTTGGCTATTATCTTCCCCTTCCTAGTTTCTAAACAAATGCTTATAAACTGAACTGACAGAAAAAACTCCAGCTTTTCCCCATCTCCAAACCACCCCATCAGCCTGGGAGTTGGTTTTGTATCTGAAATCATGTTGTACAGGTTCCTAAGTTGGCCCTGCAGCAGAAAGCCACCTTCCAAAGTTTAATCTCCAATTCCTATTAATCACTTTCATCAAAACAAATCTTGAACAACTCAGGGAACCTATCCTTTAGGGATAATGGTCGACACCATATATCATGCCAAAAATCAATATTATTGCCATCACCAAGTATCAAAACTCTCCCTTTAATGTAAATATTTTTTACTTTGATCAAATCATTCCACACAGGGGAATTAGAAGATTTATGTCTTACTTGAAAAACACATGTGTTTTTCATATATTTTTGTCTTACAATATCTTGCCAAATGCCTTCTCATGCTCAAGTTTCCACCACCACTTGCACAACAAGCTTACATTCATCTTCTTTAAATCTTTGACACCTAACCCCCCTTTTTCCTTAGGTTTGGTGATGATTTTCCACTTTACTAGATGATATTTTCTTTTTGTACCACCCCCTTGCCAGAAAAATCTTTTCCTAACCTTATCTATTTTTTCAATCATAGTTTGAGGAGCTACATGGACATGGCATAAGTGGGCATACTACTGAGACAAGAATTTAACAAGATAGTTCTTCCCCTAACAGTTAGAGAACTGCCTTGCTAACTGACAAGACCCTAACATATGGTATGTTAAGCCTTGGGATCAAAGGTTCCCGACCGAGAGATCCCGGACCGACCCTTCTAGAATCGCTCGGGGGCTCGGGGGCTATACCCATCGGGTACGCTCGTGCGCACCCTTCGGTCAGAGGATCAGACTGAGCCCGAGTAAGCCTGCCGCCTCTGCTTAGCGCCCGGGGGCTCGCTCGAGCTCGGGGCACCCGATCGATGGGAGCTTGGACCCGATCCTTGGCCTCCCCCCCGGCCTTAGGCGCCAGGCCTGGGCACAAGAAGACACGCCTCGGGCCATCAGGGCTTGGGGGCTCCCAGGCGCCGCCCCACAAGCGCGGCGCTATCAACCACTCCTCCGACAGGGTCACGGGGTGTGACACAAGAAGACAAGCTTCTCTGTGGCCACCAGGGGCTCGGGGGCTCCTGGGCCCGCATGTCAGCCCCTCAAGCCAGCCTCCTTTGCCACCAAGAAGTCTCCAGAAGGTGCACCTAGGGGAGGCTAGTCCAAGCTGACACAGCCTGACACTCGGTGTGTTAGGATAGAGCAGCGGGACGACACCCAGAGCTTCTTTGGCTTCACGACATCGCCACAGTCTACAGAGCGCCGCTGGAACATGTAACAACCCGGGTTTTTGGAAAAGCCAAAAATACGAACTTTTTAAAATTTTTCCTGCAATGTGTGAAGCATGTAGATGCTAGGTCAAAACTAAGAACAATTTACAAATTGTTGCATGCATATAGAATTACTTGTAGGAGTTTGCCGGAGTTCTTTTGTTGGTTTAGTGTTTTGAGTTGGAGAGCACAAGTCCGTAGCGAATCCTTTTGACTTCTTCTGGAATCTCTCATGAATTCCTTGATCTAATCAGCCAACTATCTTTATCAACTCAATGCCCGTGAGTTGCCAACCTTTGACATGGACCCCACTACCCCTAGTTGACCTCTAGTGGACCCCACTAGGAGGTGTACATGTTGGCGACACATGTATACAATATAGGAGCCTTGGTTTATTTAGAAAATAGGAAATAGAAATAGAAAAAGAAAGGAAATGGAAGAGGAAAATGGAAAAGCCATCTGGCCCAGCTTGTGGCCCGTCCATCTTTTTGGCCCACCAGCGCGCAGCAGGCCTAGCTCGCTTCCCCGTCCTCCTTGGTCCAGCTCGATCCAGCTCGCGCCCTCCTCTGCTGGCCCACGCGCGCAGCAGCAGGCCGACCCAACTCGCGCGACGAGCCTAGCTGCTCGGCCCAGCTGTGCGGAGGCCCGCTCACGCGCGCACGGCCAAGCAGCCCAGCAAGCCGCGGCCTAGCCAGGCCAGCAGCCGCACGACCCTCCAACCCTAGGGCGCACGCGCCCTGGCTCCCAGCCGCCGCCGTTCTTCCCTTCATGTGCATGCTCCTGTACGGCTCTCGTCTCCGGGACCCGCGTGTCAGCCTCAAGTGAAGAAAGGAGGAAGCCGAGGACGCTGTTCCCTTCCGTCGCTCGACCGTCAGCCTCGCTGTTTTCGTCTTTCTTTCACCTACCCCTACCCGTCCCACGGATGGTGGCCGCGTGTTCGTGAGCACGCGACCCCAACGATCGCCCTCGTCCCCTGGAAGATCCCTGCCCTCGCGAACCCTAACGGACCGCCTATAAGAGCTGGACGCTGCCCTCGGCCTCGCCATCTCTCCCTATGGCCGCCGCCACCAAGCACATCTCTCCCTCCCTCGCCCTAGCCTCTCCTGCAGTGACGCCGCGCCCTTGCGCCACGCCCACGCGTCATGCGTCTGCCATCGCTACACTCGTCGCGTCCACGCCAGCACGCGACACCGCCCGTCCTCGCCACGACCTCGACCATGCGGACGGCGAACGCCGGCGCACACCGCTGCGTCACCAAGCCTTCGCCGTCCAGGGGCCCTTCCTCGTCGCGCAGCCCGCGACCGCCGCGCTGGAGCGCCACCCACGACGAGCCGAGCACCGGAAGCGCTGCAGCACCGGCCTACTGACCTACGTCGCAGCGACCGCAAGCGCACGACGACGCCCCTGCCAAACTGCACCAAGCAAGAGGGAGGAAGAAAGGAGAGAGGAAGGAGGAAGAAGAGGAACCGGAGCACGCCAGAACGACCCCTCGGAGCCCCTCGTCACCGGCCGAAGCCCTGCGCTGAACTGTGAGCACGCGCGTACGACATCGACGCGACCTCGGTGCTGCTTGCACCGGGCCCGACCTGCACCACATGACCTTCCCCGTTTCACCGCCTGCCTGCCCACCCTTCGCGCCGTTCTCCTTTGTGCGGCCATCGCGCTGCTCTGACCGTGTCGCGACAGCCGGTCACCACGTATCCACGACACCCCTGTGCCCCGCGTGCCGATCGAGCCACAGCGCGAGGGCGAGATTACCCCGGCCACGGACTGACGCACCTACACAGGCACAGCCACACACCACCGGGGCCATACATGCACAACGCATCCACGCCGGTAGCCACCCACGGCCGCCGCACGACCTCAGCGTCACTACACCGTGCTTGCCTCGCTGCCCTCGCGGCCAAGGCATAGCCTTGCACACGCCCATGACCCGGCGCCTCCGCACACACCGCGGCTTCCGCTTCGCCTAGCCATCGCACGAACACAGCTCGCGAAGGCACGGATGCGAGCACTGGCCGGTCATGCTCGCCGTCGCCAGCCCACCGCACACGCACAGCACGGCAGCAGCCGGCCCCTGCCTTG